TGTTGTCAAAACAAAGAGTCAAGAAAGTCACTATCAGTTAGTTTTTCCTTTTAGCAGTTTTGCACAGTTAATGGTTTCCTTGGGTTATGCTTCATCACTGTTTGCACCAAGTTACTAAATAAAATTTTATATGATGAAATTAATTTCACGGTTTTATGCAGGTGATACATTACTTGTCTAATATACATTATCTGTATATTGTAGACAAGTGTATCTTTTGTAATGATGATTATATATTATGAAACAGTGAAGTGGCGGTAGAAATTTCCTCAAACAATCTCCCCTGAAGAAGCCCGTGAGGGCGAAACATGTAGGGAGTATACTACATTTACCTAACCAAGTTTGAATCTCAGTTGGTATTCTTAGAATTGAAATTGTTTTTATGTTTTTTTTGTATTTTTTCCTTTCTTGTGTTTTTTTTTAAAATTATTTAACTTTTAATGTGTGGTATTCATGTCTATGCACCCTGAAAGTCCTATCTTCTCTATTGATTATTATATATTATGAACTCATGTTGAAAATGAGAATAAATCTTTGTTATTTCTCCTAGACTAGACCAGTTCAGATTATTATGTAATGGTAATAATTCTGATGTTCTATTATTCCTAAATGAGTATAGGGAATTGCAAATAATGGATCTGCTGAAGGTATTTTGTCAGTTGGGCATTTTATGTATTGCTGGTAATAAACTGATAAGAAATCCATCTCTGATAAGTTTAGTTGTGAATATTTTTGAAAGTGCATAAATATGTGAACCCAACACCCATTGCACTGGGTTTAGTCACTGTAAAAGTCTCCTATTTAACATGTCACAGTTCACAATTATTGGTTGCTATTAAGAAATTAAATATAAATGAATGGGATGAATCAAGACTTCAAGCCCAGATACCATTTTTTAAAAATCCGAGGTATTGCAAGGCAGAGAGAGAGCGAGAGAGAGGCAAAAATATCTTGTAAACTGAATTAATTGCTTATTTTGGGCTGCTATATTTGTACAGACCCTTGTATTATCCATTATGCTAAATGGAAAGTGTAACCATGCTGCTTGCACCCATAAAATTTAGACATACAGAATTCTGAAGACCTCTCTAGATAAATATCATTCAAGTAAGACATGTAGCTGGAACTTATTTATCCTATGTAGAAGCTTGTTTGAATAGATACATATACACAGTTGTATTTGCATCCTCAATGTGCAAAATGTTAAGATTTGTCAGTTTGTCATTATACATTCATTATAGGGTTAATTAGGCTTGTTTTAAGATATCAAATGTCCAAGAAAGTTGAAACGATGTCTTAAAGCAGAATGCTAAAATAATTTAGAATATTTATGAATGTTAATCAGTTAATAAAAAGAAGAGTTTTCCCCCAAATCTTTCTTTACTATATGATATAACTGATTAGGCTAGCAAGCCATAAGAGGTAGCTAGCTATAGTATATGCTGTAACATTCAAGAGAGCGCTCATAAATAGTGTGTTGTTATCTAAAAGATTGATATATGATTATGGTATATTGCTGTGCTGACTCATCAGGTGGTGAGTAAGTGTAGACATTGATGAATGATCTCTTTATGACAGAAGCGCATACAATCATATTGTCCATGATAATATCAGTTAATGGTGATCATATGTCATAATACTGCAGAGATTACCCTATAGTCCATTCATTTAATGAATGCAATTAAATGCAATATGTTGGAAAAGGTGGAATTGTTCTAGAACAATGGTAAAATATTTCTTTTAATTGTCTGTGTCAACCATGAAGCACGGTCTAATTAAGTGTTTAAGTTTAATAAGTCCATTATCTTCTGTTTAAAAACAAAGAATTCAATAAACGTTTTGTTCATTAATTCTTCATAATTCACTAAATATATTCATATAGGAATTTTTAAAGTATAAATGACAATTTCAGTGACAACAAGTAATCACACAGTACAGGGTTCATAACGCAAAAAGCTATTGAATGTTTCAATTTGTTTTTATATTTAATATCTACAGTCATAGCTATGCAACATTGCACTTATCACTGTCTATTTTTTAATAAGCTCATTACACTGAATACTTTAATTGCATAAAATAAAACAGACACTGTAATTATAAGAGCATAATGAATGATGTCTTCAACAAATAATGGGATTGTTTCCTTGCAAATTTGTTTAAATGTGCTAAGTGAACTAGAAATAAAGTTTGTACCAATATCTGCTCATTTGTGGTGCTAACTACCAAGAGGTGCCAAGGCACCATCAGGTTTATGGAAGTGTATTAAACTGTGCTGATCAGTATGAATCTGGAATTTTTTTCAGGCATATTATTTGTATCAAACATATTTTAGACCTTAATATTTTACAAATTCTCCTAAAGTATAAATCTTGTTTATATTTTAATAAATAAAATAAATCTTCATTGTTATTTAAGAATATATGACAGTGTCTTATACTAAAAATAACTATGTATATTATATATACAATATATTATGTATATTAACCCTCTAAAACTACATTTATTAAAAGCAGACAAACCCAGAAATTGATCATATATTGTGGTATATACTTTATATCTGCCTATCTCCCTCTCAAGGCGAAGTGTAAGAATACAAAGAACCTTTGATCTTGTAGCAGGCACATATGGGGTCATCAAATGAATAGGGTATTTTGACATACACCCTATTGTGCTTTAAGAATTCACTTTGATAACAATGTGAAAGTCAGAAGATCACACATCCCCTGGCAACAATTTCTAATAGGAAGGAATACACACTTCCCTTTTTTATAAGTGAATGAATTGTGCTTTGATCCAGCAGGAGGAAGAGTTGTGTGTTTCATTTCATACGAGTTCAGAGAAAGCAGAATTGTAAAGATTGACATGGGAGCTGCAGGATTGTAAGGCATGACAGGGGAACTTCAGAACTGTAATACTTGATAAGGGAGCTTCAGGAGTGTAAGGAATGACAAGGGAACTGAAGGACTGTATTGACTGATAAGGAAGTTGCATGATTGTAAGGAATGCCAATGGAGCTTTGGGATTGTAAAGAATGCCAAAGGAGCTGCAGGATTGTAAGGAATGCCAAAGAAGTTGAGGGATTGTAAGGAATGCCAAGGGAGCTGCAGGGTTCTAAGAACTAAAAGGGGGCTACAGGATTGTAATGACTGATGAGGGAGCTGGAGGATCATAAGGAATGCCAAAGGAACTGTAGGTTTGTAAGGAAAGCCAAGGGAGCTGCAGGATTGTAAGGAATGCCAAGTTAGCTGCAGGGTTTAAAGGATTGAAAGGGGGGCTGCAGGATTGTAAGGAATGCCAAAGAAGTTGTTGAAATGTAAGGAGTGCCAATGGAGCTGCAGGGTTGTAAGAACTGAAAGGGGGCTGCAGGATTGTAATGACTGATGAGGGAGCTGAAGAATTATAAGGAATGCCAAAGGAACTGCAGGTTTGTAAGGGTTACCAAGGGAGCTCCAGGATTGTAAGGAATGCCAAGGGAGCTGCAGGGGTTAAAGGATTGAAAGGGGGCTACAGGATTGTAAGGAGTGCCAAGGGAACTGCGGGGTTGTAAGAACTTAAAGGGGGCTGCAAGATTGTAATGACTGATAAGGAAGCTGCAAGTTTGTAAGGAATGCCAAAGGTGCTGCAGGGTTGTAAGAATTGAAAGGGGGCTGCAGGATTGGAATGATGGAGAAGGGATAATTTAAAGGAATCTACATCAGCTTCTATTAGTATTCCCAGTGAGACTGTGCCTAGCAATAAACCATTACAGAGTCTACAATCAAATAGTATATACCTTTCTTGATCTTACTTGGTACTAGTAAAAATAATTATGGTGTATTACCTGTTTAGGCTTTAGATGCAAATTACATAAAATTTGATTCACCATCACTTTACTATTACATATGTTGGCTTTTCTCCTATGCTCACAATGCTATACACATATATAAGACCATCTTCTATATCTACAGTGACAACTAACTTTAGTAAAACAATTCAGAAATAGATCAGTCTACAGCTGTAATAGGTATCACTTTCACTAAGGGTATTTCAAGCTCAGTGTGCCAGTTCGTCTACTAAATTCAACAAAACAGTATATCGTTCTATCTATCTATCTATCTATCTATCTATCTATCTATCTATCTATCTATCTATCTATCTATCTATCTATCTATCTATCTATCTATCTGGGAGGATAAGACAAGCTTTAAATAGAAAAGGAGAGTCATGATTGAAACCTTTCAATAAGTTAAGGATGTGATTTTTAAAATGAAGATCAAGTACAAGAGTACATGACCTCAAATTAGTAGGGGGAAAGTTTTAAAAAAAACAATCATAGAAAGTAATATTTTACTGAAAGGGTAGTTGATTCTTGGAATAGACTTCCAGCAGAGGTAGGGAATCAGTGAATAGTAGATGAATTCAAACATACTTGGGACAAACATAGGTCTAACTCAAAAAGGTTAAAGAAATGGAGCAAACAGAATGGACCAGTTGATAATTTTTCTGTGATTGCGGCTCTATGTTCATATATATTTATATATATAGTACAAAATGTACTATTTGCAAAAAAAGAACATTTCCATATATATATATATATATATATATATATATATATATATATATATATATATATATAAAACAAATGTTCTCTTTTGCAAATAATACATTTTGCACAATAACCACTCCAACTAGTATATTTTAGCCTATGAAACATACATGGTATTTTAGAAGTGGGTATACTGTATATACCTAAAAAAACTACAGGTACTATATTTGCAGGCTTCAGGGGTCACTCTGGAAACAGCTGGCAATCACCAGGGGTACTTGCCAAAGGTGCTGTAGCAGAGCCTTCACATGTAGAAGAGTTCTTAGACTCCGCTGGAGAAGTCCAATCTAGCGCTAGCGCGCTGTCCAAGGTGCTGAACTGCTGCCTGCCGCACATCGGACACATCAAAGTATTTCTAAAGACCCTTCAACTTTCTGAGCTCACCAGATCGCAGAAATCGCTACTCTCGACTTACCAAAGCGTTGATTTCAGTTGCTTGCCCCAAATGGTAAGCACAGGAAGCGCAATCTTTGCTGCAATCTGCCCGAATTGTCACATACAGGTAGGTGGTAATGGCAAGGACTAAACAGCAGTGCTTACTAACCAGCGTGATTGACTGCAAAAGAACAGAAAGAAAGCAGAAAAACTCGTTATATAGCTGGCATATACCGTCATGTCACATATATAACTTTTCTGCCTGTGCAAAGCTAAGAGTTGTGTAGAGATGCAATGAGAAGTGACAAGTGTGCATTTTGCACACCAGACATGGACTCTCTATGGCTTGTGATGTACACAGGTAAGTCAATGTATGGTGACACTTACTTGCATGGCTCCGTGTCAGCGCTGTAGTAGATGATCCACCACAGCCGGCTCAGTACTGGGCGATGCTGGATGGGACTGAACGGGAAATTATTTATAGAGGAACAAAGTAGTCAAGGTCTCTAGAGAAAGTGTGGAGACAAGGAGCAGCCCGCGGGTGTTGCTGATCAGCAGAAACCTGTGCAAGTCTTGTAAGTGATCTCTCCTCCTCTACTTTTCTATGAGCTGGAGAGAGAGAGGGAGCGAGAGGGAGAGAGAGAGAGCGGTGACAACGTCTACGAGCCACTTTCCTTAAATGGACGTGTGTGGTTGGAGGCTCGTTAGAGGAATCACAGAGCTGGGCTTCTTTATAATTAGTTAAAGAAGAGAGCAGACAGCTTCCCCCAATAGCCTGTAGGCTCCATCTGACGCATCTCCTACGAAATCTCTTCATGGATTTCGCAGTGTTTGCCCCATAAGTTCTTATAATTAAGCAGAGTCATGATCGCCATCAGAAGCGCTGGGGGAGGCTCATATGTGGGACACAAAAACGTGACAGCTAAAATATTGGCACATTTTCAATAGCTATGGAGAGCATAATTGCAAGTGTCAGTAAAACCACAAAAGCTGCTATATTCAGAATGAGCAATACTGGTTTCCAGGTATTGTAGGTGGATTGGTGATTGAAATGCAGTTCCTGGTACACGATGCTGTGCTTTAGGTATAGTATAGGCTGATTTGTTCTTACATGATCTCTCTGTAGAAAATGAGCACGTTGTGAGCACTCTACAAACTATGGGTGACAGCTCTGAGCACTGAGCACGAGGGGATGGCAGCAGTTAGCAAATTTGTCCTTTAGAGGGCGCTCATTCCCTACTTCAGGCTGCACGGGACCTTGCGAAGGAAAGGAGAAGCACTTCGGTGTCAGGCAATAGAAAGGAACAAGAAATTGGGCAAATGTAAAGGTTTGCATTATATAAAGCTTTCGTTCTACAATCTCATATTATAGAACTCAAGATCTGAAGATTCAGAATAACAAAACATTTTTGTCAATGGTTTAATTATTAACAGAAAATTATTATATATTTAAAGTAGAAATTACACTTTTTTTGTTTCTGATGAAGCAAGCAAGGGTTAGACCCTCAGTCAGATTTTTGTAGCTGCCTATGTTCCCACTGGGGAGAATTATGCTGGCCATTCACTAGTAGAATTTCAAGTGAGAATATCTGTATGAACAGTAAATACTTTGTATGTTCAATAACTGGATGAACAGATTTTTGGAGCTGCCTATGTTCCCACTGGGGAGATTTATGCTGGCCATTCACTAGTAGAATTTCAAGTGAAGATATCGATATGAACAGTAAATACTTTGTGTGTTCAATAAATGGATGAACAGATTTTTGGAGCTGCCTATGTTCCCACTGGGGAGATTTATGCTGGCCATTCACTAGTAGAATGTTGAGTGAGAATATCTGTATGAACAATAATTATTTTGTATGTTCAAAAACTGGGTGAACATATTTTTGTAGCTGCCTATGTTCCTACTGGGGAGATTTATGCTGGCCACAGCCCCCCCCCCCCCCCCCCCGCCTTGACACCGACCAACATCAGTGATCAACAATACCCCTGCCCCCCCAACTGAGAGTGCCTTCCACTAATACATCCCCCCCTTCCCAGAAACAGGGAGAAAGACACTCCTCACCTTCACAGCTTCGGACATCCTTGGGAATGAGAGTCGGGCTCTACATATGCCATCAAGCAGCCTGCAGCCTCTTTCAGATCCCACCTGGTCCCCATGCCACATATGTCTGCCCCCCTGAAAAATGCCACCCTAGGCAAATGCCTTGTTTGCCTTATGGTACATATGCCCCTAGCTGGCCATTCACTAGTAGAATTTTGAGTGAGAATATCCATATGAACAGTAAATACTTTGTACATTCGAAAACTGGATGAACATCGTTCTAAAATTTTCACTTTTTTTTACATTTGATTTTACAATGAAAACCACATGCTGTTCGAAATTTGCTCATTGGGGAAAAAATTACATCCTGTTGCTTTAAAATTTCCTGTCACTCTGATTGAAAATGAACAAGTGGTTTGACCACACTGCTGCAAAGTGTGGTCAAGTTGTGGAAAGAGATGGCCAACAGACAGGCAGCAATTACATCATAAAAGGAGATTTTTCAAGTAGGTTTCCATTGGATTGTCAATTATAACTATTGTTTGTGTTGCTATTATAATGCTGATGTTATAAAAAGAAAGTGTATGCCATGACCATAGAACTCCTTTAAATAATGATTTTATAATAATATGTATGAACCAGTGGCGGACTGACCATTCGAGCACTCGGGCAGTGCCCGAGGGCCTGGGGTCAGAAGGGGGCCCCATAAAATGCCCCTGGTACCTTTTATAGGCTTTTTTGGGAGTGTTTTGAGTGTGGGCAAGGACACAGGGGCCCCATGATCCCCAATTGCCTGGGGGCCCCATGAGTTGGTATGAACCATTTTGACCTTGCATGGCCACAAATGTCATAATTTGGCATCATTTTAGGCGTACAATCCTCAGATGCAATATTGAGACTTTGGGTGCTGTAGATATTCCTCTCTAAAAAAATCTAGCACTGTCATTTTTTTATTACTGGGCACCTCTGTTGGTTACAGTAAGCTGGTGGTTCTCTCAGCCCAAGGATAATCCCATGGTGACTCTTGAAGCAGCTATACTAGGTTCTATTGCCACCCTTAGTAACTTGGTGTAGCGGGTCCTTTAATCACATGCCTGAATCACATGCTTTATGCTTATTATGAGTCTGGAATCACATCAGAGCAAAATATCACACTCCATCCACTTACCACCACATACTCCCTTGTGGGATAACTCTTCCATTCCTCACCTACACAGTTTGCTGGATCCCCACATGTGGGTTGTCAAGGGACTAACCACGCTGTAACATATTATGAGGGATCAGAAACTATTGCAGTTTTATGAGCTAAAATATAAATTTTCACTTCCAAATTGGATGTTCTTCTGGTACCTGCAGCTGTGGCATGCTGTGGTGGCTCAATTCCCACCACCCCTTACTCTAGAATCAGACCCTCTGGAATAATTGCCCCCACCTCTAAAGTGATGGGGAAGCTGTTGTCAGCTATATATCAGCATCTATCCCTAGCTTATGCCACCAAGTTAGAGCTCACCTATCAGAAGCTGGCAGATGATGTATCTGACCTCAATGAAGATGACTAGAAGGACTGTTTGGAAAATATATTACTTATGTGGTCTTGGTTAGAGACAGATTTATCCAACTTAAACTTCTTCATAGGCTTATTACATCTCACAATGTCTGGCCAGTATCTACCTGACCTCTAGTCTCTTGTGTGCATGTTGGGTACTTCTCTCCACATGGTGTGGGCCTGTCCCTCTTTGCAAACCTTTTGGGAGTCGGTGGTGGATGTTCTTAGTGAAGTGTGTGACTTGCAGATGAGACTAGTCCCTCAGATGTTATTGCTGGGAAAGGATGATGGTTTAGAGGCAAGCCAGTATGTTAAACTATTATCTTCTAGGCTGTATTCAATGCATGAAGGGAAATTTTGATTCACTGAAACCTGACCACCATTAACTAGGAAAGCCACCATTAAGAGATCCTTCCCCTGTACAAATTGACTTATGAATGTAGGAATTGGCCAAGAAAATGCAACAAAATCTGGTCAGTCTGGACAGATGCCCAGGATACTTAGATATGTGATATGGGTGCAACTTTTGGAATGCCCATTGGCCTTACTTTCTCTGTACTCCGGTCAATTCATTTGGGCTCTGCTCTGGGGTTCCCCCAAATAAATTTCCTGTTACCTCCTTCTCCTACCCTCTTTGCCCCCCCCCCCTTCCTTATTTATAGTGCATATGTCTTTCCTTAAATGATTGAGTTGTCCTCAATCTTACTGATATCACTTTAGAATGTTTTATTGTACACGTAGTGTGCCTTAGCCTCCTTCGTGAGTTAACATTTTGATGAAATGTCAATACACACTGTTCTCTTTGATATATGGTAAACTGTTATACCTGGCATGCAGTAATTTTTTTTATATTTTGCTGTACGTATTCAATAAATGTTTTTCTGTAAAAAAAAAAACCTGCCATTTCAGACAGTAACTGATGATTGGTTTCTAGGTCACTGGTCATTCATAAAGGCTTGTTTTTTTAGATTAGGTTACATGAATACAAGTCTGACTTATCATTTCCCATAAAATCAATTTGTTGTTCACAGACAATCAGGTGCATTGAAGGACTGTTATACTTTCCAGGCAAACCATAATTTCCCAGTTCCTTAGAATATGTCTAAGCCAAGTGTTACACTATGAACAAACTTACACACAGTTCAGAAACCCTGGTAGTTAAAAGCAGAATTCCCTATATTGGGTGGACAAGCACTAGAGTTGAGCAGGTCAATAACGATCCACCCCTTTGTCTACTTTAAGGGTTATAAGGGGGTAGTATTAGTGCAGATTAGTACTTTTATTGAGGGGAAAGTGGTGGTTTTTGCTGAAAGTGTAAGGAGGGGAGAGTACTGCTGAGCTTTACACACCCGACTCCTGCAGTCTTTTTATTTTGTACTCCTGACCCTGCATTCTGTGCATTACATACTCCTGACCCCTGCTCAATGTGTGTTATGTACTCCTAAACCCAGTGCTGATTGCAGCACTTCTGACCTTTGAAGCACAGTCCAATGCACTCTGTGTTGTGTAATCCTTAATTCCGCACTAACTGCAGAACTGCAGAGACAGGAAGAGGACAGGCATCTCCGTGAAGATTTTCCAGTATCCAGCTGCCTTCACAACATGGGACATACTCTATTACAGGTAAATAATGTGACTAAAGCTGTAGGGTTTTTTTTTTTTACTAAAGTTTAGGTTTAATGAAAATCGGTGTGGCATTCCCATTGCTTTTTTAAAGTTGTGGAGTCCTCCTAGGGTACTCCCCAAAGCCCCTGGTTTAAAAAGAGCTATCAAACCAGATCATTGTGCTCCATTAATCAATCCTTGTAACTTAGTAATGGACTATAACACCTCAAAATCTAGTGCCTCAAATCCATATCCACTGAAAACAAAAGGTTAATTGCTGACTCACCAGGCTCCATCCACAACTAAAGTCTCTGCTGTGTTGAGATCAGTTACAGGATGATGTGTTAATATAATAATGCACTTTACATATAACTTATACTACTTATTGGATAAGTGCAGTGATGTTCTTAGTAAGCAATCTCCAGTGTGTGATGGGAGAGAAGGCTTCACCGTTCATACCAGTGCTACAGCAGTCAGATGCTTTTCATTCCATTACTTTCTAATGAGTAGAAAGTAGGATGATAAATAGTACAATACCTCAGGTGAAGGGAAAATGTGTTTGGTTACTCTGGAGGCAGAAAAGCCTTTCGGTAATAGGTCTCTCTGAGGAGTAATTATGTTTATGTTTACCAAGGAAAACAAGACGCCTTCAAGACTGAACTGAGTACTTTTTGAGAACTTCAATAAAGTATTTATATAAAGAGTTCAGTAATTTGTATTTAATCAAATGAATGGTTTAATAAGCTATTTGAATGTTAAAACATTAAAAAATATCCTTAGGACTTTCACTTAAACAGCAAATTGCCTTTGTGATCTCCTCAAGCCTTTTGTTTCCCCTCTGTCCAAATCCTGATCTGTCAAAAATCAGAGAGCGCTGTTTTAAATTCAATTCATAAGACTGCTGTGTCATAAACATTGTTTTTATTATTAGGAGGCCAATTTAATATGTTAATTGTTAATAAAAAAGAGTACATTGTTTTGCAGTGGTGAAGAAAGGTCTTATTTTTCAAATATTAAACAAGAGCATGTAAAAATCTAATACTGAATTATGAAAAACAAATAGTTTAAAACCAATGTTTCTAAGCTTATAAGGCCAATATGGTAAAAATAGAAACTGGATGTTTTATTATAACCGCTTCATGGTGAAGGTAAAGTGAAGGTAAAGCAAATCACATTTGAACACAGTTTTGCAACTTTGACGTGTGTTGGTAAAACTGTACATATCATCACAGCTACTAGTGTATAGACGTGGATGATACCTTGTTTTTTTCAGAACAAATTGGGCTTTCCTTTGGTGGTAAAAAAAATGATGGTATCTCCTGAATGTTTTATCCCCAAAGGAAAAATTTGCCAACATAGTAAAAAAAAAATGTATTTTTTAATTCAGCTGAAAAATGTCTTGCTATTGGCATAACCTACCACCAAAGAACAACCCAAAATAAATTCTCCTGATACAATATGTGTATGTTATTTGTTGTTTGTACTCATAATAAGGCTCAGAAACAATAGTGCACTGTTTTGTTTTATCCTACCTATACACACTGACACTGACTGACACCGATACTAAAAATGTTTTTTTTTAATCCTACCTAAAATACACTGACCCTGCCCTTTGCCTCTGACCTTGACTTTTGACCCCGACCCTATCTCAAACCCTAACACTGATCTAGATCAAACCCTGATCTATTTTTTATTGTATTTCTTTATTTTTTTCACACACACACACACACACACTTCTTTGTTTACATTTTTCTCCTCCAGCAAGGAGAAAAAGATACAATGTATCTTTTTCTCCACACAAGAGAAGAAAACAAACACAGAGGTGGGCTGAACAGTGACTGATCACTGTGATAGCCAATTAGAGGTTATCACAGCACTCAGGTGCTCCCAGTTCCTGATCATTAGCACGAGACCTGAGGCTCTGAGTGAGATGCTGGTCTCTGTGCTAGGAGCACACTGTGCAGCACACTCACAGGGCAAACACACCACCTTTGCAAACAGGTATGCATAAACTGCAGCACCACAGAAGAAGACCCACTTCTGTGATGCTGCATGTATGCGTACAGTTGGTGGGAAATGGTTAAAAATATTTTTTTTTTTGTGGTCCCAGGTTAACTACACAAATTTATAGCAAATATATAATTAAAACCATTTCTTTACTGCATGGGGAGGCATATTTGCATTTGCATTTGCTATGAGGCTTACGGGAGCCAGCAACATCATTAATAAACTGTGTCTAAACAAATAAATATTATGAGCAGCACTATGGTGAAAATATTCAGCAAGGTGCACTGTGGAAATTTTACTGAAAACCCCAAAAATGAATGAAATGGATTTAAAAAGAATAGACATCAGTTTAAAACCTTTGCCTACAGAATAAGAAATCTTAAGAGAACTCAGGATATGCTTGCTACTGCCAACCTCGGGCTTCACAAAATTCTCTCTAACAGTGACAAGGTAATAAAAGTCTTACAAATAAATATTATGAGCAGTGTTGTGGTGAAAATATTCAGAAAGGCGCAGTGTGGAAATTTTACTGAAAACCCAAAAAATTAATTAAATGGTTTTAAACTTATCACCAACCCAAATATTACCACTCATCAGTAAATAAACATACATTGCTGAAAACCCCAAAAATTAGTGAAATGGGTTAAAACTAAATCCAGACCAAATATTGCCACTCATCAATGAATAAACATACATATGTGAACTGTACTTATTTTTTCTTTATTTTTTTCTCTTATCTGACCACCTCTGAATGTTCTTAGGTAAACTAAGCACAATAACTATGGGAAGGGGTTATTGAGAGTAATCTCTAGTCAGGTTACATGCAAAACTTTTGCCTTTGTGTTCTTTGTTGAACTAGACATTTCAATAGTACTGTAGCTTTGCATATAAATCAGAAAGTATGCTGCCTCCAATAGCAATGAACCTGGGCTCCAGCTACTGTCTTTGCATTCTATTGTATATGTGTCTCTACGATTCCTTTTTCTGACTCATTGGCACAAATACCGTTTATTGCCTGCATGGTGTAGCAATTGCCTATTTGATTCCTGTGCGTTGTAACAATTTCCCATATGTTATTCATATATTGTTACAATTGCCCATTTCTTACCTGTATACTGTCATGACTAAACATCTGTTGCAAACTTATTGGAAAAAAAGTGCCTTTTTATTTCTTGCACTTTGTCTCAATCAGGGCGGACTGACCATTTGGAAACTCGGGCACTGTCCAAGGGCCCAGGGTCAGTAGGGGGCCCCATGAGATGCCCCTGGTATCTTTTTCATAGGCTTTTTTGAGTTTGGGCAAGGACACAGGGGCCCCATGATCCCCTATTGCCCGGGGGCCCCATGAGATGTCAGTCCGCCCCTGGTCTCAATTGCCCCTTTCTTGCCCATGTATTTGCCTGTTTGTTCCTGGCGCATTGGAAAGTCTACACATTTGTTGATCGTGTATTGTCATGATCGCTAGTTTGTTTCTTGCGTATTGCAATGACTGCCCATTCCTTGTCCTTGTATTTTCACTATCATCCAATTTTTACCTGTGCATTGTATGCGTAGCACAGATTTCAGGACTTGCTGGGACTATTCACATAGTAGCTTGAGCAGGGAGAGCAAAAGTAGAAAACACAAAAAGTTAAATGGCTAAATTAAATGGTCACCTAGCTGCACTCAGGTCGTCGGTTTGAATCCAAAGCATGGCATTACCTGTCATGTTCTCCCCGTGCCTTTGTGGGTTTCCTCCTGATACCCTGGTTTCCTCTCACACTCCAAAGAAATACTGATAGGTTAAGTGTCTCCTGTCTATATTGGCCCTAGTATGTGTATGCATGAATGTGAGTTAGGGAACTTAGATTGGATGCTCCTTGAAGGTTAGGGACCGATATGAATGTACAATACTGTATATATGTAAAGCGCTGCATTAATTGATGGGGCTTCATAAGTACCTGTAATAAATAAATATCATCCCATGTATAAATAATGTTTTATAGCTATAGTACTCCTAGGGAAGCTATTGTGTTTTAAGGAGATAAACATCAGTAAATCACTTACACAGAGCAGACGTGCCAACATTGTTTGGTAGGCAAATAGCTCGGGAAGAAACAAAGATATTGTGTGCAAATGATTATAATGCACTGGCCAGATTACTCTGTAAATCACAATTAGAGATTGCAGGAACACAAAAACCGAAAAAAAAAAAAAAACTACCATAGCAGAAAAAATAATCATGTAAATCAAGTGAATAACAAAACAGTGATTTAGTAAGTACTTATCTGAGTCTCAATTTCAATCCAGCAGGAAAATAACAAGTGAAATGACTGCACAGTGGCAAACAACCAGGTTTTACTCTATGGTATATGTTTTATATCCCGTGCTTACACTTGCTGTTATAAGACATCATCCAGATAGGAGATTATGCTTAATAATCTTATACAACTGATATTTCAAGGCACAAATGCAAAAACACATTTACTTATTGTGAACAGCATATATTAAAGGAGATAAAAAAAGTAGACCAGAAGCAGATAAATCACACCAAATGGATAATCTAATGTTAATGCCAAACTAAAGTTTAAATCAGCTAAATACATTCTAGGTGCAACAACCAAAGAGGTACAAAAGTCTTACAGCAATTTTCTTTCAAAAGCAGCCAAAGCCTGAGTAGAAAAGCCTGTCCACTGGCAACATATTGTAGAGAATGACCTTGCTCTCTATGTGGAATCAGTGGTCTCTATTCCCTCTGTAAAGTCAGACTCAACTCAACTCAACAAAGCTCATATTAGCTGCAGATTAAAGCGCTTAGATTTGGCTCAGCAGGGGTCATGTCAGACCTCTGTTTCCAGAGCACGGGTTCTTCCCTACAGGATGCTGCCATAGGACAGACATTTCTGCTCAGGATGTGGCTGATTTCTAAAGATGGCCATACGTAGATCAAAATTTAGCCAGCTCAGCAGGGATCAGACGACTTTTAATCCATGTGTGGCCACTATTGTTGAATGGAAGTCGAGGTTCATCCTTCCCCTCCCCTGCCCTGTGCTGAATGAAACTAGAAGCAACAAGTATTTTGTCCCTTCCATTTTCAGTTTGTTGTTTACAAGCCATTATTCATTTTTAAAGCATCTGAGCAAACTGATCTCAGTTTGATCAAATGCGTTTGAGGGCAGATGAGAGATCTGGGATCTAATGGATCCCAGATCTCTTTGTAAAGAGTAACTGTCACTGCCCATGTTATCACAAGGACTGTTGGTCATCAATTGTGATAGCAATATAGCTGATTAAAAAAAAAAATTAAAGAGACAGTGTAAAAAAAATGTAAACGCCCCCATCCCCCTGTGCCATTGCACAAATGGGAATGTGTACATAGGTTCCACATGCATACTGTATGCAATGGTGATCATGCCCAGGGATGCTGTTAGAAACCACGGGGCCCCATACAGCCAACCTGACAGGGCCCCCCTCCAAAAACAAAAAGGGTTTACTATGCTTCAGTTATGAATGAACACAGTGAGTGACCGATATAGATCACTCATGTTGAAGGATCCTATTGTGTGCTTGCAGCTACCAGTGGGAAGGAGAGGAGGGAAGCCGGCAGCACTGTGAGAGGGGGGCCTGTTCAGTGGGGGAAATGTGTGGTGCACAGGGAGGGTGATGGGTGCAATTACTGGAACCGATCCCCTGTATGGCTCTCTCTGTAGCAGCTGAAAGTGGGAGGGAGAAGAGAAAAAACAAGCTTTCAGCAGCTGCAGAGAAAACCATACAGGGGATCGGTTTCAGTAATTGATCCCTGCCATGCTGATTGCCCTCCCTGCCAATATCCAATTCACCCAGCTGCCCAGGCCCCACTGCTGGGCTGGGCCCCTTACAGGAGAACTGGTGGTACCCCCTTATCCACGGCCCTGATCATGCCACACATATCGCCATGAAGGAGGTATCGCCATAAATGTCAGAGTGAGAGCAATAAATCTAGCATAAGTCCTCCTGTGTAACTCCAAAATGTAAAAGGATAAGTTCACCTTTTGTAACATGTTACATGGTACACCCATACTCAGGGTGTAATATATTATTGCCCTTATTTAAGGAAGGAAGGCAGCAAATGTTGTACATGCTGGTCACAGTGCATTTCTCTCTGAAATTCTGAGGAAAATGGGTCGTTCCAGACAATCAGCTTCAGGAAAATCAAAGAAGGTCTAAAGTTACCTGTGAGTACTATTACAATTAGAAGACGCCTATGTGAAGCCAAGCTATCTGCAAGAAGCCCCCGCAAAGTCCCACTGTTGAAAAAAAGACATGTGCTGAAGAGGTTACAATTTGCCAAAGAGCACATTGACTGGCCTAAAGAGAAATGGCGCAACATTTTGTGGACTGATGAAAGTAAGATTGTTCTTTTTGGGTCTAGTGGCTGGAGACAGTTTGTCAGACGACCCCCAAACACTGAATTCAAGCCACAGTACACTGTGAAGACAGTGAAGCATGGTTGCGCAAGCATCATGATATGGGGATGTTTTTCATACTACGGTGTTGGGCCTATTTATCGCATACCAGGGATCATGGATCAGTTTGAATACATCAGAATACTTGAATAGGTCATGCTGCCTTATGCTGAAGAGGAAATGCCCTTGAAATGGGTGTTCCAACAAGACAACGACCCCAAACACACCAGTATACGTGCAACATCTTGGTTCCAGACCAACAAGATTGACGTTATGGAGTGGCCAGTCCAATCCCCGGATCTTAATCCAATAGAAAACTTGTGGGGTGACATCAAAAATGCAGTTTCTGAGGCAAAACCAAGAAATAGAGAAGAACTGTGGAATGTAGTCCAATCATCCTGGGCTGGAATACCTGTTCACAGGTGCCAGAAGTTGGTTGACTCCATGCAACACAGATGTACAGCAGTTCTCATAAACAGTGCTAATACAACTAAATATTCATTAAGGGATTCAAAGGAAAGCAAAATCTTCAAACATTTTTCAGTTTATATAGTGAATGTTTGAGTTTGTAAAGAAGAATACAAACACTGCTATTTTTTTTGAACAGTCTAATATTCACTTTTCTTCAATTTTTTTAGAGGAACAACACAAATTTGATATATTTTTCTTCGTGTTTTGATTTGGAATAGAATGTGTAGTGTTCCCAATACATTTGTGTGTATGGAAATAAAAGCTATTAGAAGGATTTTCAGCTTTATTCACTTTTTTCAACACACTGCTATTATTTTGAACACAACTGTATATATATATTAGAAATATCTCTCTTTTTTTTTATCATGTGACCTCTGTTCTCAGATGCATAAGGGGCTTAGAGAGGTGGGGGTGGAGACGACATGGGAGCATAGAAAGGATATGCTTCCATGCCTAGTATGGTCAGTTTAAATTAGGAAAGCAGGGGGACTAGCAGGATTATCAGGTATTTCACACAAAGGAAGCAGTGCAAAGAGAACAGAATTCTTTTTCATACAAGTACATGGTAACACAGACACACATAATATCAGGAATATAAAATGCTGGGGTAACATACACTGCGACTGCGCCGCGCTGGGAGCGACAGAGGGCGGTGACGTCAGGGCCGGGCTTCCAGTGTGAAGTGTGTTTCTCTTCCCCTCCCGGCTGCCGAGCAGAGACTTCAGCTCCAGCTACCTTTTTCACCCTTCACATTAGTGCAGGTAAGTTTTTTTTAAATTTATTTTCAATACATTGTGAAAACTCAGCTGTCAGTGGATCTTAATGTTATGAAATGAAAAGTATGTCGTTTGCAATTAACTTGGCATAAAATAATTTATTTGCATTTAATTGTAATGGTTCAAAGAATGTTCGGAAAAATGTTCGGCCCTCCACCATGTTCACTTCATCCAATCTGGCCCTCTTTGAAAAAAGTTTGGACACCCCTGGTCTAAGCAGAAGTTTAAATTGATAATCTTTTCAGTTAGGATAGACAATGTTCAGACTTGTAAAAGGTGAAAAGGCAGAACATGTATATGTTATAAAGGCTTACTGGAAACCAGCAGAATCAAGCAGAAGTATTGGTTCTGAACCAGAACCATGTCAAAAGGAATCACTAAAGCTTACCAAAGCTTGCTAAAGACTATGAGGAATCTTTCTGCCCAGGAACTGTCTCAGTGCACTGAGCAGAATTTATAGTGTCTGCATGAAAACATCAGAATGAAATTTCTTTAATTTCGGCTTGATGTTACTGGTGCATGTCTAAGAACAGCTTAGCCTAGACGACAAGCAAATTGGTGTGTGTTTTTTCAATGTATTTATTTATTTCTGTTGATTAAAGTGAAACTGGAAGCTGTGCACAAAAAAAGGCAAACATTGAAGACAAAAGACTATTTAACAATGTTGCCTGTGGTCT